GTTGTCACTTCTCTCAGGATGAGAGAGTGTCCTGAGGCAGCCAAAGATACAGCTCCCGAAAACAAACTGAAGCGTAAGATTAGGAAGGCACCTTCCTTTTCTCTGTATTTGGAAGTGAACGTGACCGCTGCAATGACTGATGTGGCGTCTTCCACTCTACCAGTGCAGCCCGTATTCAAGTCTTTGCTGATCAGATTTCCCTGGAAATCACACTCTCTTGCCACATAATAGAAAGAGTAGCAAGTAAGTAGTGAGCCACAGATAGACATCACTAGCTGTCATGGGTTGAATTCTGTCCCCCAGAAAGATACGCTCAAGTTCTAATCCCTGTACCTGTGCATGTGACCTTATTTGGAAATAGGGTCTTTGCAGATATAATTACTTAAGATGAGGTCAGACTGGAGGAGGGCGGGCCCTTAATCCAATATGACTGGTGTCCTTAGAAAGGGACAGTGTCACGTGAAGAGAGAGACACACACAGGGAGAGGGCCACACGAGGACCGAGGCAGGGACTGGGGCAAAGCAGCTGCAAGGCAAGGACCACCACGGACTGCCGGCCACCGCCAGAAGCTGGAAGAGGCAGGAACACTTCCACCCAGAGCCCCAGAAGGAGCCCTGCCCTGCTGACACCTTGGTTTTAGACTTCTGACCTCCTGCTGTGAACTGTGAGAGAATAAATGTTTGTTATTGTAAGCCGCCCAGTTTTTGGCACATTATTACAGAAGTCCCAGGAAACAAAAACACCGGCCAAGTGTTAAGCCTACTTACTTGATGAAAAAGTAATATTCCTCCCAAGCTGATTTGCAGTTCATTCTCCAGGTCAAGAAGTACAATCTTAAACTCCAAAGTAGAGAGTTTTCAAATCGTGATTCTGTGGTTGATTGAATCTGTGGCTACAGAACCCACACTCCAAGGCCGACTTAGAATGATACGAGCCCAGGTGCCTGTGTTCAAATCTCGCCTCCACCACTTAATAGGACCTTGAGCAGGTTATTTAACTTCTCAGAGCCTCCATTTCCCCATCCAAAAAATGGGGCTAATAGTAGTACCTAAAGCAAAGGACTGTTTTAAGGATAAAATTAGTAAATGCATGTGATGTGCTTAAAACAACAACCAGTACACAGTGAGCTCAGTACCACTGTTACTACTGCCATCATAAATACGAGGAGTTCGCCAAAATTGGACCTCTGCAAAGTTAACATTAAACCGTGCAGGCAGGATTTCATGGAAGTCTTGTTTGTCTGACAGGATATGCTGTCGATAAATTGAGCAAAGTCAAGTTCTACAGTGGCCTTCACCCCAGCAAGATAGCTGAGTCCACTAACTCAGACTCAAGTTGCTGGTATGCGGCTCAAATCAAAGAGGATCCAAAACAGTTACTGAAAACCACATACATAACTTTCCTTTCATTAATTCATTCGTTCTACAAACTTCTTCTGACTTCCTAATGTGTGTTAGACCCCAGCCTGGTTCTATGAAGAATCAAAAAATGAATAAAGCATTGAAGGCCAGTTGAGATAGAATAAAGGTGATGGATTTATTCATCCATCATCCACCTGCCCACCCATCCATCTTTATTCATGTCTCATCCATCTGCCCACCCATCCATCCTCCATCCATCACCCAACCATTCGTCCATCCATTTAATCCAAAATATCCATTGGCTTCCATCATATCCATAAGGACAGAGGTTGCCCTAAATCAACGGAATGATCCTCAGTCAATAATATTTAACAGACACTTCTGAACTCCTGCTCCAAACTCCCAGCCACAAGATGCTCCTGTCTCTGCCATCACAATCTGGTTGCCATGGACACAGTCCACACACAAGGCCATTCGCCCACACCTGAGTTCCTTCACTGTATCCTTTTCTGAGAACTAACTAAGGCCACATAGATTGATGAATGCCACAGAAGGAACACAGGAACCAAGTCGCTGCCCTTGGAGCATCCATGATGGAATCGATGAGGAGCGGACAGACCTGCGTGTCAAGTGAATTGCGGTTCTCTGCCATTCTGAATCCCACCATGGCCAGCAGCACACCTGAAGGGGCTGGAGGCATTCCCAGCATGTCCCAGTCCCTTGGCCAGCCTCACGTGCAGTCCTAGATTTCAGAACAATCCCAGGTTCTTAAGTCCTACTTGTATGTCCCCAAAAAGCCACCTTCATGATATCTCTCATTTCAAACTAACAGCAAATTGTCCCTTATTCCCAGCAGTGCCCACAACCCTCCCAGCTCCACACTCCCCCGACAGACACCACTGAACCATCCATCTCTGCAATTATAGCCAAAAAACAGTTGCTGTTTGATCAAAACTCACCCGCATGCCCACAGGGCCCACAGCAGCCTGCAAGTTGAGAAACTCTTTGTTGCTCAATAGGCCAAAAGTCCAGAGCCATGTGGAGACAACCATCAGGGGACTAGCTCAGAGAGGCCTGGTGGTCAGGGCGGCAGGAGGGGAGCCGTATGGGTCGCAGTCATTGGCAGGAGTCAGGCTGTCCATCGTGGGGTGATGAATATGGACACAGAGGAGCAAGTGTCTGCAGCCAGCGGCCTGTGTAAGGAGCTGGGGCAGCCAGACTGGGATGGCCCTTAGATAGCCTTCCACGCCCAGCTGGGCGGTCAAGGCTTTGTCCTCCCAGCCCAGGAGAGTCACCAGAGGGTGCTTTAGGGAGGTGATGACTATGCTCAGATGGATCAGGGATTTTTCCAAGGTGCAGTAATGACATTTCTGGTTGGTCCTGCACGTCTGCCTCGCCGGCTGCCTCATACCGGGCATAGGGCAGTGAGCCGCCCAACCAAATGACACGTGTGCCCACGCAGCCCTTCTCAAAGGACACAGTCATTGTCTAGTCACTGTCCTCTCAAATACCCTGGCCTTGAAGCTTCTGGTTGGTGGAAGAGGAAGGACAGGAGGGCAGCAGCGTCCCTGAGGGCCTGCGGGTCACGCCGGCCGGTGCCCAGCCAGTTCCCAGAGCAGCCAGGGGCCTGGAGAGGCGGCTGGACTCCACGGCCCGTGCATGTGAGTGCGGGGTGAGGCGCTGGTCGGGGGTAGGGTCTGCGGTTGGCCGTCGCTTGTCTAGGGGCTGTGAGGCCCCGCCGGTAGGTCTGGGTGCGGGCGGGAGGTCTCCGGGCAAGCAGCAGGCAATATCCCCAGCAGAAGGCCAGCCGTGCCGGGGCCTGGGGGGCCCTGGGGACCCAGCTCCGGTGTCCTAATGAGCCAGCTGGGCCCCTAATGAGCCAGGAAGGATGGAGTCCGATTCCTGAGTGTTTGGGTAGAACTTGCTGGCCGTCCTTGGGCTGGGAGCAAGGACCAGGTCTGCAGAGTGTCAGGAGACGGGGCAGCTTGGGTGCTGGTTGTCACTGTCCCTTCTGTGCATGGTGAGTGTCTAGAGCCTCCAGACTTGGGAGCCTTATCCTCTCCCAGCCCTCCCCTTCCCCCAAATACACAGACACTGGCCTGGAAGAAGGCGCGGGAAAGTTACAGATCTCCCTTAATAAGGGTAAAAAATGGTACTGAAGCGGAGACATTCCAGGCAGTCTGATCCATGAGTTCATCCTTCAGTTACCTTGAACCCTGCATCCCCAGTAGCTGCCACGGTCTTCCCTGGATGGGCCAGAGGGCCAAGGCCTGCTGGGAGGGCCCACAGACAAGGGAGAACGAGGCCTGGGATTGGTGCCCAGGCCGTGGAGCCACTCGGGCACTGGCTTTTGGCTGCACATTCCCACCGAGAGATTTAATTCCTGCCATTTATAAGGCCAAAAATCTCTTAATTACTCAGCTTAGTCTTGAAATCTTAGGAAGCCAGAGGGTAGCCCCATCACCATGTTCTCTGAGCATCTCAGCCCCGGGATGCCTGCTGGGCTGGCTCCCGTTGAGCTGGAACAGGTTTATCTGTAATGGTGATAAAACTTCAGTAGCACACATTACTGGGTGTCCTTCCTTGCTGGGCTTACAGGTTTCTGCATATCTCAGCATCTTCTAGACCGCTCTGAGAAGCTGCTGCTATGATGTCCGTAGCCAGGTGGGTCAGGTACGGCTGAGTCGTCTGCCCAGGATCAGTCTGACCGGAAGCCAGCCTCCATTCTTACCTGGCTGTGGAGCTTTAGAAATCTCTAAAGCTCACCATCCTCTACTTACCCATCTAGACAATGGATCGATTCTTCCCAAGCATCTGCAGAGAAATCTGTAAAAAGGAAGAGACAGTTTCTTCCCTCAGTGCCATGAAAGTGTTACTATAAATATCTCCTGCTTTCCAAGTTAGTTGTCTTAAAGATCTACGAAATCAAATCTATCCATTTTTTTTAAAAAAATCACTTTCTCGCTTGTATCAGAGAATCTCTTACATTACATAGAGCACACAGTCTAAAAGCCTGTTTTCCTGGCTGCTCCCAGTGTCTTTTTAAAAATTCAGACAGTCGCTGTTGCCAGTTCAGGAGTGATTCTTGGCGCTTTGAAACTCAAACATTCCTCCCTCCAGCTGATCCTCACAATCCTCTCTTGGGGGCGAGTCCTCACACTGCTGGCAAGACGCGTGGCTGCCAGGGCCGTAGGCTTTTTGCCCGAACAGTGGCCACGCACAGGAATTTTCCACCACACGCTGTTTGCTGGGAGGGCACCTGGGGCTTGTCCTAAGAGAGCCGCCCCGGTGCCGTGACTCTGTGAAGGCAAGAAGGGAGAGGATGCAACTCTGTACCTCATCCTCTTCTCTCCCTGGGGGGGGGGGCACCAGGATACAGGGAGGCTGTGAGCAGGGTCTCTGGGGCGCAGAGGCAAGCCACCCACGGGCAGTGGTTCACCCCTGGACGTGAATGTGCACGCCACACACCCGTGCACCTACAGCTTCCCTGGAACAAGAAAGAAATGAAAGCTGAGATTTGGAACACCGCTGGGGTTTCCGCTGGCAGCCTCTCTTGGGCACAGGAGACCAGCAAGAGCTTTGTTTTCAAAAGGCTCCTCCTTGGCAGACCTTTACAGGGGCATCTGGGCTACACTTAAATGAAGAAAAAACAAACTTACGAAACCAAATTTTTAAATTCTGCAGAACACAGCACAAGTGTCTCCTGTTCCTTTCAACATTCAAACTAGATGCACTCTTTGATTTCAGGGAGGAAGAATCCCAACGCTGAGTCCTCCAGTTCCATCCATAACCGGCAGGACAGGCTTCAGGGGCCTGCCACCTGCACGGCTGCCCGGGACCCTGCACTTTGAAAGGGCGCCAGCCTGGTTTGATACTCTGTGGTCGCCATCTTGAAATTCTTCATTTTTGAACAAGGGTACCCATGTTTTCATTGTGCGCTGTTTCATCTGCAAGGCCATTCTGAGGACTTCTACCAGCTGAAATCTCAGACCTGACCCAGTTCATTCTAAACTTCTAAACGGATGGTCCTTCCACCATTTCCTCCACCCTCTCTCCTCCCTGGCCTCTTCCTCTACCCTTGTTCTCTATCCATGCAGCACATTCCCAGCCCCAGCAAGGGTCTTATAACTTCCATAACTTTGAAATAGCAACAACAGTAAATGATCTTTCCTGGTATCTGCAACACCTGTAACGCAGTGCAAACCATGAGCAACTCCTATGGGTGGTAATGTCCCAGACTCTGGTCACACTGCTGCAGGTGGCTGCCTCTACTCATAACACAAGGACATGCTCATTTTAGGGGGAGGCCAATGAAATAAATCATGCAACTCTTTTCCCCAAGTTGACAGGTACCCTGAATTCTATGGAATTAAGAACCCCTGTCCTACAACTGTTGCCTCATTTCCTGGTTCCCCTTTATGGTCCAAGTCTTTGAAAGAATCTTCTGGGCTCACTATCTCCTGTGCGCCTATCCCAACTCTCTCTTGAACCGACTCCCAGCACTCTGCCGAAACTGAGCTTGTCAAGGTCTCCAGTTTCCTTCATGTTGCTAATTCCAACCATATTTCTCAGTGCTCAGATAATGTGATTTGTCTGGTGACGATGCAGTGGGTCACTCTCTCCAGCCTGGAACTCTGTCCTCACTCACCACTCTCCCCCTGGGTTGCCTCTTCCCTCTCGGCCACTCCTTGTGGCCCATTGCTGGCTCCCCCTCAGACCCCAGTCTCTCATGTTGGAAGGTTACCAGACTCAGTCATCAGGCACCTGCTCTTCCCTGTCTACACTCACTCCTTGGGGGCTCTTACCCGATCTCACCGCTTTCAATCCTGTGTCTGTGCTGTTGAGTTCCAAGTGGACTTCTTCACTCCATGCCCTCCCTGAGCACTGCACTTATACATCAAGTGTGGTGTTCCCGCCCCCCACTAGGTGGTCACAGCCGTGCCAATTCAACATGTCCAAAACAAAATTCCTCTTCCTCCACCCTCCAAACGCAGAGCCTCCCACCTCCCACTGCCTTCACCCTCAATAAATGGTAACTCCATTCTTCCAGTTGCCCAAGACCTTGGAGCCATGTCTGACATCGGTCTCTCACACTCCACTGCTAAACCATCAGCAAACCCTGCCACTCTCACCTTCAAATGTATCTAGGAACCCACCCCTTCTCAGTACCCACCTCTGTCACTGCCAGCATCTCTTACGTGGATGACCACAGAACTCTCTTCTTTAGTCTCCCTGATCCAGCCCAGGTGTGACCTTGGATGAGTTACTTAACCTCTCCAAGCCTCAGTTTCTCCATCCATAAGTGAGGACAGTGACAGGCACATCACAGATTTGCTGAAGGATTCAACAAGTTAACGTCTGTGGAGGCACTTAGCATGTGTCAGGCATCTCACGAACACTCAGTACATTTGGCTGTGATTGCTTTTACTTCTCATTATTAACTCAGCTTCTGGATGCCTGGGGCTAAAGTTGACAGAGAATGAGCACTAAACATTTTTAGCTGTATGTTATTTAGCATTAGTACACCTCAGTCTTATGTCTTCATTTTAGTCACTGCAATATAATCCCAGTTTCGTGCTCAAATAAATCATTTTCACGGGCTTACAAAATCCATCGACTAGTTGTCTTATCCATAGAGGTTTCCAGCCCAGCAGGGCCAGAGTCCTGGGGCTTGTTGTTTTGATGTTAAGTCCTAGAGGGAGGCCCCGCTGTGCTCTCCTGGATTTCCAAGGGAAAGCCTGGGCAACCATCGGAGTTGCCTTATCCAAACCTGGCCTGCACCCCAAATTTGGGTTTTTATGGTCTATGAAACCAAGACATGTTGATTTAAGAAAACCAGACACTAGCCTGAAAAGGTCAGCCACGTCTCTGGGTGCAGCCCAGCCAATTACATACAAACTGGGGAACTGAGCCCCCCAAACTCTTTGGGGGATCAGTGGATTCATATGCTTTTCCAGCCTGGAGAAGCTGAGTCATCTGATCACTGTGTGGGTTACCCGCTGTGGTTGGCACTGGCTCTTGAGTTTTCACTACACAAGGGCCTTCCAAATTCTTCCCTCGCCATGTTCTCTCACGTCTCCCTGGACTCCGTCCTCCACACCCTGGGACATGAAGCTAACCACTGACCTGCGGTTTTCCATGGTAGATGTGAAGCCATCAGACCATGCTCAGTGCCTCCTCTGGAAGGGGACCCAAGTCTCACATTCAGACATGACTGTTTTTTCCTGTGATTCCCGTGCCACCATTCAACTGGGCACCTGTACTGGTCTGCGAGAGCTGCAAAGTACAAAGTACCACCAACATGGTGGCTAAAAATGATAGAAATGAATTCTCTCCCAGTTCTGGAGGTGGGGAGTCCAAAGTCAAGGTGTCAGCAGAGTCAGTTCCTTCTGATGCTCACGAGGAAGGATCTGCCCCAGGCCTCTGTCCAAGCCTCCGCTGGTCACTGGTTATCCTTGCTGTCCCTTGGCTCATAGTGGCATCAGTCCAACCTCTGCCTCCATCTTCACATGGTGTTCTCCCTATTTCTTTGTCTTCACGTGGCCATCTTCTCACAAAGACTCCAGTCTCGGTATAGGGATCCACCGCACTCAGTATGTCCGCATCTGAACCAAAAGTTACCTCTGCAATGACCCTCATCCAAATAAGGTCACCTTTGGAG